CCCCAAAACCCCAAAACCCCAAAACCCCTTTAACCTGAATTCTATAATGTGAACAAGTTAGTATTTATTTTTAATAATTTAAATTACTTAAGTTGTTACTCTTAAAATAGATAGGATTTTATGAAATTAAAATTGAATTAGTTTTGTAAATACTTCTAATTATCATCATTTACTCTTGAGACTTCATTCTATTCTATTTTATATAGCTCAATCCACTACACTTTAAGCCTAAGTAGCCACGGTATTCTCCTCTCCGTCACTATTATTTTAATTTTGTATTTCTTGCTCAGCCAACTCTTATTCTTCCAGCCATTGACCGAAATCATCAATTCTCCTATTTTGCTCTTCAACTGACTCTTTAACCACTCTGTAGTCAGTCTTGCCATCCCAGAAATAGCACTTAAGTTGCCTGCCATCAAAGAACCTACCATTCATTACCTTAATGCACTCATCAGCATGTATGGAACTCATAAATCTGATCTTTATCACTCCATTCGGATGCTCTCTAAAGAAATGCATTTTATCTATGGCTCCAAAATTCTCAATCTCACTTCGAATTTCATATTCTAACTCCTGAAAGAACACGTCTGTTCTGTCAGAGTTTTACTCTACCTCCTCCATAGTGAACATTCCCTCAAGAATCACTATCCTTAGTCCTATCTCGTGAATGTGCATGTCGTCATCCCAAGCCAATTGCCTTTCCTGTTCAGCCTTGATTCTGAGTTTTTCAAGTGGGTCAATCTTCTGCTTCTTCCTTGGCACATACTCCTCACCTTTCTATTGGAATTCAGCTGGCTGCACGGTTATCTTAAAGCCAGGTAAGAACTCAGTATCGTTAAGCATCGCGATTGCAGTGTCTAGTGATTCAACCATAGCGAATCCAATACGAGCATCACCCTTTGGATTTCCATCGCTATCTTTGTAGATCTTGATCATTTCTTGGCCTGTATTGGGGTCTAATCTTATCACTCCACATCTACCAAAGAACTCCTTCAAATCTTCGTGCGTTATATCCAATGGCAATCCTTAGATGTAAATAAATGTGTTGACTTTGGTCTAATACCACTTCCTCTTTTTATTCTCGAGGTATCTCTTCTTTTTCAGTCTCTTAAGTTCTTTGGCTTTCAACTCCTCTGCAGTCATAGTCTTTACTCCAGTTCCATCTAATGGCTAATTTGAGTGTGAATCCTGCATTTCGATGTTGTTTGCATTTCCTTCACTGGATATTCGTTGCAATGCATTATGAGCAGCCTTTGATACTATGTCCTTGACCTAATTTTGATGTATAGTTTCATCTGAATCCCCAGCTATTTCATGATGAATTTTTAATGCAAAATCGTCCTCCTACTTCTTGATTTCCTCAGAGGCAATTCTTAATCTTGCAATCTATTCTTAAGACGGCTTTATCTGCTAGCCAGACCATTTCTTAGTTACAGGATCAAATATCTTAAACTGCTTCTCTTCTTTGCTGAAATAGAACAAACCAGAATCGTCCTCATCATCATTCTTATCTGCCTCTTTGGCATTTTTATTAAGATTATTCTCTGCATCCTCAAAAGATTACTCATCCTAATCCCCCTCCTTATCATTATTATCCTTTTTCTCTTTCTTGCCAAATTTCTTTACATACTCCTCAACCACATTATCAAGTACTTCATTTGTACTTTCTATAATCAATCAAAGAATTTAGTGATCTTACCTAGCAATACTTTTTAGATCTCCTCAATTTAGTAGATCTTTTTCCACTCAGGCATACCTTCTTTCCAAACCAGGTAACTCGAATGTATCTCCTTGGTTCTAAACTTCACATCTATAAATATCTTAGACTAAGGCACTAAATAACTTACCGATTTCTCTAATGCTAATTGGTCCTTCTGCCTCTTTTTCCTCAGTACCTGGAGCCAGAATATACCACACAAACTATTAAAAATTGTTTAATTTGATATTTGTGTTAAATGTGTTACTTTCTCATCTTCGAGTAAATTATCTTGCAAACTCTTCATGTAGTCAGATTGCTACTGCTGTTACTAAAATTATTCACCTTAAATACTGGTTAAAATGAGAATTTATAATTACTTGATTGATCTGGAAAATCAGACATTTAAGCTTTAATTATTTTATTATAATAAGGGCATGCTTAATGAATGAAATGTAAATAGTATTATAAATTTTGTCTAAATTAATTTAAGTTTTGATTTAGTTAACTAATCAATTCATTTATCATTTGTCTTTACTCTTCTGTTATCTCAGAGTGCTTGAGTTTAAGTGAGATGGTTCATCGACTCTAAGTTTTAATATGAAGATATCTTATCAGATTCTGCAAGTTTCGATGCAGAAGGCTTCTCAGTTGGAATGCTTGAAGGTATTTAACTACTTTAATTCAATTTCTAGGAATCATTTTCGTCCTAAACCCCAGCATTTCTATTATCGTGTTGGTTCACATTTTAATACTTGCGATCTCCACTCTCAGTATTGTTAGTTTCAACTGACTGCTATTTGAGATCAGCTGACTTGCCATCATGCTGAATAGGACTGAAGTTATTTATGATGGTGCTGCCTGGATAACTCTCAACGACTATAGAATTTTATTAGGGTTACAAATTTTTAACGCTTGAGATCTATTGGCTGTTGAGAATTTCACTGAAGTACTAATTGGGCTTTGCACCTTGGTTGGAGCTTTAAGGACCAACACCAATGAATTTTGGCTGCTGTGACATTTATGAAAGTCTACTATAAGTGAATTAGGTACTTTCAGTGGATGGGGCATTTCTTAAGGGATTTTTAATATTATCTTGTTAATTCATGTTTTTTAAGATCCTATGATCTGCTATTATTTTAGCTGAACTATTTACTTGAGTATTGCTTAATTGGAATGAAACTGAATCAGGACTGTATATCATATTTGTCATAGGTGTTTAGTAGTTTTGTTACTGCTGATCATATGATGCCATTCTATAGAGGTAGTTTTATTGCTACTAGAGATCTTTTTAAGATTCTGATTACTGTTTCAACTTTATTCTCTTCTTGGATTTCTTGTTCTTTTTGTCCTTTTTCCCATTAAGCAATTAAGAGCCACTGGGAAGTCTCTCATAAATCTGAAAAAGATACTTCATGCTGATTTGTGTTTATGGATTTGCCATCAGTTGCTTGTTATGCAAAAAGGCTGCACTTGCTGGTCTCTTTAATGATTTTTGCTGTGAATGCGCTTTTGTATCTTGATTATCATTGTTTTCTTATTGCTACTACTACTAATATCCACCATTTAGATTGTTGATATTCTCCTAAAGATATTTCTTGTTTCTTCTACCCATAGCAGATCTAGAATTCTGCTGAGTGTAATTGCTTCTTGGTCTCTATTTAGCCATCTCTATAGGCTGCTACTGCAACTATTATTACTGCTCATAAGTGACAAAGTTATCTTCATCCTCTTTGAAATCCTCAGCAATCACATTATCATCTTGCTGCAATATTGATCGTTTTTGCTATGTGTTATATGCTGTAGGAGAGGTGATATTTACTAACTGCTATGAATTATTCTAATTAACTATTTCCTCTGAATGCTCAAGTTTATTCTATTGCCTAATGTCTATGATGTTATCCCCTAGAGTAGTCATAAGACTATATCCATTTTTAGCTGAAAAGGGTCTGTTTTTTACTGCTCTCTCACGAGATCTTGTTGATGGCTACAGGAATATCATTTCATTGGGAAGTGGGGCTGCTTTAGACTTCTTACGCTTCTTTGTTTTTTTCTCAGGTTGTTATAGGTTAATTAGCTATCTTGCATTTTAAAGTAAAGCTTAAGTATAATTACCGTTAGTTCCTTTTACATTAAACAGTTGCTTGGTTGTTCTAATCTTGAAATCAGAAGGGTTTTTAACAATGTTAAAATCTCTCAGAGATTAACTTTAATGAAGCTTCTTCCCTAGTTTATCAAGTTGGAGTCTCAGTTGATCCTTTGAAACAGGCTATTTATCTCCTGCAGCGAGTATTTGATCACTATCAGAAGATTCATTTAACTCAGCTGACTATTTTCTCTCATGGTTAAAGTTTAGTTGGTTATCTTAATTGCTATTAAAAGGAGATTTATCAGGATCAGTGCCAAATTATTAAGACTCCATTAAGGATTCCTCATCCACTTTTTCAATTAGATCTTTGTTAGCTGGTTTTTTAAGACCATTTCTGTTGCTTTCATAAATCTAAGGTGAAGAAACTCTACTACTTCTATCTTAGTTATGTCCTATCATACTCTGGCTTTGAGATCTATAGCTTCTTGCACTATATTAGTTTTTCGGATAAAGCCTTTCAGTGCATTAATCTACGATTGCTCTGGTATCAGAGTAGCCTGTGATAATTGCTTCTTATCTCACATTCCAACGACCTTTAAAGTCTGGCTCAAGATAATTTAATTCTTTTATAGAGCAGAATGGTGTAAATCCTAGGTTAATATTTTCATCCTCTTCCTTGTTAAACTTCTCAAGAAAATAGTCTCTTGATTCAAATAATTCTAGCCACTCTATGGGCAAAGGGTCAGAATTATAATAGGTATTATCTGGAAAGTAAACACTGTTGTAGTGATAAAGGAACATTTTCTCAGTCTTAATTTCTTTATCTTTTTTCAATCCAGTTGTAGCTAGCAGATAAAATGGCTCGATATCAGCTCCGAAGAAATGCAGCAATATATTTTACCTCTGCACATATTCCTTGTTTTCGGCATTCTTAGTGCTAAAATGAGTAAATGGGTAAGCTGATGCAAAAGCTATAGGTTTATTCCACTTAGGACCATCTGTGATTCTGAACTCAACTTCAGTATTTTCTAGGAAATGCTTCAGATTTTTTACTTCATCAACAAAGAAGAAGTAAGTTCTAAGCTTTTTCAATAAGACCTTAGGAGTCTTGGGAGCTCCATTACTATATGAAGCATTTTTTATAGTTTGAGTTTGAAGATATTTTATTGTTGTTCTTCTTTGAAGACCTTTTGAAAGATCAGTAAAGTTACCAGCTGAAGAAATTCTTGTCAATCCAAATTTCTTAGCTGGCGAGCCGTCCTTTTAATTGCTGTTTTGTTAGGAAGATTCAATTATAGAATTCGTAATTATATTGTCAATTTCCAAGGTTGTATAGAAGTCAAATAATTTGATTTAAAGATAAAGCTTTCCAGTTGTGCATTTAGACTTGAGCAGCTACAATTAAATATCCTAGAACTCATGCATATAGAATAAAAGTCTCCATTGGTTCAACTTCCCTCTGATGTTTTCAGAGTCAACACGATTGAGTTCAGCATTTTTACGAGATTTTTCTTCTAAGGGAATATTTTAAGAGATAGCGTAAAGTTTCTCTACTTCTATTAATTCATGTTCAGCCACGACTAGCATGTAGCAAATATCACAAACTTTGCAAGATTAAGTGCTTTCTTGTATTTTCTAAATAAATAAAACAAGTATAAATGCTTACATCAAGATATTCGAACCCGAAAATACCTCTCTTGTACAAATGATTCTTGAGCTCAAAGAGCATTTTAAACGTGACGATCTTAGTAACTTCACTCTTTTTGTAACTAATTCTGCAGAGTTAACACTAAACTGTGTTATTTGCTCGATCATAGATTCCTTTTTCTTCTTTGACCTTTTCAGCCCATTATTCATCTGAAAGTAAAGTCAATTTCGAAACTCTCTCATATTCTAACACTCTAAACCCATTCACATCTAGAAAGTATATAACATCTCTTTCATCTTTTGTGAAATCAATTGCAATTTGCTCTATTCTTACGCCAAAAGATTTATAGATAAAAGATACTAATTAGTCTGCCATAGCTTCATAAGGCTCTAGTACTTTACCCTTCATTACAAAATGCTCAAATGAATTTTCTCTTGAAGAGCAAATGGCATATCTCTCCTCAGGTCTATACTTTAGCTGATTCTCTTGATAATGCAATTTATTGGTCATATAGTAGCCAAATGTCTGACTCTGCCCTGGATGAGCTTTTGGATTATAATAGAATAATCTCATAGTATTAGCTTTGTGAGCACTTGAGTATATAAATTGCTAGATAATCGAGTCAGAATCAGGTCCATAATTGATTGTGTCGTTGAATTTCTCCCAGCTTTAAACAGACTATGAAATTAATTTGATTGCTAAATTACTTTAGTACCAGTGATTGGAAATTACTGCCATTTTCTATCAATAACAGCAGCATGAGTAGGGTCAAGCCATTATGACTTATATACTTGTTCTTAAATTTCTCGAACCTTATCATAGAAGTTCCTTGGCAAAAAGTCATTGTTTTTTACCTCTAACTTCCCAGTTTAATCTATAAGAAAATATTTTAAGATATTGATAGTCTTCATTAGATGCACTTACTTGTTGTAATCCAATTTAAGCCATTAAAAACGCACAATGTTTCAGGGATGTTTATCTTCAATTGTTTTAAAGGAACTTTACTTTCTACGAGTGCTTTATATATAAAAACGCCAGGCTTTATAGGTAGATTGTCATAGTAATTGTAGGGTATTTGAGGAAACTGCAACTTCTTGCAGGTCTTCTACCAAGGATTCAGTAAATTAGCCTATTTTAATATTTATCACTCATCAGTGAAGATACCTTCATTTCATCGATTTCATCTTTGAAGTCAAAAGCACTCTTTTTCTTGTAATTATGTTCATAATAGTCGACGCTCTCCTTAATTGGCATCAAAGTACCCTATAAATCTTGTAAGAAACTTCTAGATTATTCTCACATTATACTGATTATTGTTCGAAGTCATAGTTTCGGTGATAAAGAATTTATCTTAATGGGCACTGCCCCCGCCTGATGGCGATTAAACTGGCAAACTTGTCGAAGAATTACTCTTTTTCAAATCTGTATTCATATTTTCTATTTGAATATTTTATTTCAATTTACATCTTTTATAAAGATTTTGCATTCAGGGGTTTTGGGGTTTTGGGGTTTTGGGG